CTTTTAACCCTTCTTCTTCTTCTTCTTCTTCTTCTTCTTCTTCTTCTTCTTCTTCTTCTTCTTCTTCTTCTTCTTCTTCTTCTTTCTCTCTCTCTCTCTCTCTCTCTCTCTCTCTCTCTCTCTCTCTCCTGCTTTTTTTAATGTTTCTAACACCTTCATTTTCCAAGAAAGCACATGATAGTGGTCTTACTTAAGGTGAACATTTCTTAATGTATCCCTGTCCTTGTTACCCCTCCGTTCCTCCTGTACCTGTCCATCACCCAGGTTAATTCGCTGTCAGGTTCATTTCCTTGAAGCACTGCTATGATTGTGATACTCCCTTCTCAAAAATCCTCCCATGACACCTGCGCTGCAGGCACACACTGCAGGCACACACTGCCTATCAGGAGACCTTACTCTCTCTTTAGCTTGTTGCTCAAAGCCCTCCCAGTCTATACTCCATCCACCTTCCCGGTTTAACTTCTGCTCTTCTGTACTCAGCTCTGGCTCGGATCCAAATGAGTCTCCTTCTCTCCTTCCAACAGGCCTTGTCTTTTTCCCTTTTGCAAAGAGCTGGGCTTTGGGCTGGAGTCACCCACCAGAGTCTCAAATGGGTTCCCATGCCCAGCATGGAGTCTATCTCCACCCAAACCTTTCTCTGGTAAATGATGCCAGAACGAATCTCTCTGGAGTTCTAAAATCCTAGGACACATATTGTCTGTATCACTTCAGCAGCTCTTTCATGTCTTATGTGTTATCTATTTTTATAATTTCATAGCTCAGCAGACACTAATACAAATAATACCAAAAACTCATTGAGTGTTGACTGCATGCCAAGCCCTTGACATATTAACCTGTTGCATTCTCCCAACAAACAATTCTATGGGATGGTTTTTGCCTTTTCTATATGATAGCAAAAGGAATGGCTGGGCTTTCCACCCCATGTATATGGGAAATTCATCAAAGCCCAGCCCTCCCACCCTTCATTCCTCTGGGATCCCAGAGAAGGTGAGGTGGGAAAGAAAAAAAAATGTCATTTTCGGAGCCATCCTCAACGGGGTGCTGCACTTGAACCAGCATCAAATGGCTTCTGCCAAGTTCTTACTCTTGGTTTCTGCCTTTGAACCTCCCATCCTTCAATTTCCCAAACCTTATTAGCATCATTTTGTTGGGTGGATTGATGTTTGTATGAGGTCTGAGAAAAGGGATAAGGTAATACATCAAAGCTCAAAACACAATTTATGTTGATCACTGAAATCATTGCCCTAAAGTCCCTCTGCCACCATCCACAGGGACTTTTTCCAGCCAGTGTTCTCTTGAAGCCTCCGCCTACATCAGATCCTTGGGCTCTGCTTCCTTCCCAGAGCCTGATGTCTCCCTCCTCCCTCTCTCCTGGGTCCCACCTTCTCGTTGTGGTGCAAATTCTTAACACTCGCTGCATGCTGCAGAGAAATT